AACACAGTTTCTTCCTCACACCACACCAGCCAGACAATCCCAAGCCATATCACCTTACCCCGCCCAATATGGCGGTTGGAGACAAGGCAGTCAGATTCATAACAACCACAGTGGTTAGCATAGTTTTATGATAATCGAAACCAAGCAAGCTTTCCGTTGTGGAGATAAGCAAATTATCATTCTGCGTCTGTCGCTGTCGGTTGGTGTCTGCGGGTGCGCCCGTCGCTTTTGGAGACCATCAGGCTGTTTGTGTATGGACTGCAAGGAACCCGAACATCGAATCGGACAAGTTTTAGCAATACCAAGCATGGACAGGAATGTTTTTGTCTTCCCTAGAAACGTTAATATCCTAAACTCACACACACATAGGTCCGTGGACTCATGGTGAAGCTCTGAATCAATTCACCCACCCTCTGTTTGGTGGGCAGCGCAGAGGTATACGCCACCTGCTGATGCCAGCCCAACATTACGGCTTACGCAGAGAGGCCTTCAGCTGCCTGACCCCTGTCAAGTGAAAGAAATGGAAGACCAAACCAGCTGCCGTTTTTAGGAGTGAGGACTATTCCAGGCTGGGCCAGCTACATTGTGGCATGCTACAACAGGACACGCGTAACTGCGGTTCTGCATTTACATACTTCCAAAGTCTGCAGACTCCGACCTGCAGTGTGAATTCATTTAGCCAGCGGTTTATTTGTTTACTTTGACCTGTACAATTTACTTTTCTTAACCAGTCTCCTTTTGGAGGCCTTGCACCTCTGAACAATAATTATTGTTTAGTGGTTTCAAACTCCTCTCAAAGCAGACCTGGATCATGGGATTCATCAGTTATCAGCTGAAATACGAGTTTACTGTGGGTGTCGAAGGGCATCCCTTTGCGTGTCGGTGTGTGTTTCGCACTACACACATGCCTCTTGCATGCATTTGCGTTAAACGTTGTGTTTTATAGTGTTGAAGCTGGTGAGATAGACAATGAATTCCCGTGCACACACAATTGCTTTCACTTTGTGGGTTCTTCATGAGTTTCCACCCATTAGCAACCTTTTTGCATGTGGTGGCCAGCAGAAGGCGGGACACAGAGGCTGGGTTCCTGTAGCGGCGCGAAAAGCCGGGTTACTGTATACCTACTTTTAAGACGCATTACCACATTTGAATTTGGACCCTCTGGTCAAATTATTTGTCATTCAGCGTACAAGGCAATAAACACGTTAATAGTACTCTTCTTTAGGATGAGTTTTCTAGGAATGGACATATATTCATCTGTGCTGGTTAAGTTAAAATCATCTGCTTTTACACAATGAAAAGTCTGTTTACAGGTGCTGGGGACTACTACAGCATACGTGAACAACAAGTTGTATAAAACCTTAAAAACCATTTTAAGCGCGGTTAACATTTTAGGCTTGTGTCCGTGATTAATGTCGGTGTCGGCTTGGGGCTTGAAAACTAACAAGTTGTAAATGACGAGAACAATCTGAGGTGTGGAGGTAGAAAGAATGAGCTTACAAGACTTCTGTAGCCCAACTCCTCACCTCCTATACTACTATAAGATAAGACAAGAAACCTTTATTTGTCCCACAATGGGAAATCTGCAGTGCGTGCCAACAGCAATACACGAAAGGGCAGAATATAAAAATGAAAACAAAGCCACAAAGAGTAGCTTATAAAAATAAATAATGAAATAACGAATAGCATCTGCACAGCACTGGTGTACACAACTGGTGTTTTGAAGTTTCTCTTACACCCCTTGTTGGCTGTAATACTATTGCACATAATTAAAAGTGTCTCGGGCGGTAACAGCAGCAAGGAAGCAAAGACCTTCCCTGTATCTTTCCTTCACACCCATCCTCTCCAGTTTGCCACTTCGCCACACCTCACCGGCTGGATGGTCTGTTTGAACGCCCTGGAGAAACTCAACAAAAGGTGATCTCTCACAGTGCTGCCGGGCCTTTCCCGGTGCAGAAGAGAGCTCAGTGTACAGGAAGCATAAGTGAGTCCTCTTCCAGTGCTCTTCATCAGCGTGGGATGTTAGAGCCACCGGTCATGTAGCGCTGAGGTCTTTAGGGTGGGCGATGTTTAAGGCACCGGAACCAACGCGTGAGGTCTTCAATCTGTGGGTCCACACCCCACTCTCCAGCCTCAAGGCTCAGGTTGAACGACATGTCCATAAACTCCAGACAGTTCGTTTGCAGCAGGACTTAAGGAGCCTGGAGCTGATACCATCCGGTCCAGCTGCTTTCCCCCGCTTGTTTACCTTCCTGACTCTTTTCTAAACCTGGTCTGCTGCTGAAGGCAAGGGTGGGGGATGAAGTGGCTCCAATCTTGGTGTGAAGCTGGTTGTATTCGTCTGATGAGCCAGAAGGTGTGAAGGGGCTGAGTGAGGAGGGCATAAGCCAGCGTGTCAGAAAGTTGAGGGACCGGCTGCATGGGGGGATGAGTGGGTGCTTGATACAAACCTAATTGAATGTAGAATTTAGATCGTTGACCCACTGTCGATCCCCCCACTCAAACTGTTCATGGGGTGTTTTGTAGCCCAAAATGGTTTCCAGGCTTCTCCACACCCTCCTGATGTTCTCCGGCTGCAGCTGCTCCTCCATCTTCCCTCCTGTAGCTTCCTCCTTATTCCCTGATTCTGAAAGCTCTCTTCTTCTTCCCTTCAGCAGAGCGCTTCAACTATCGAGGGTTGAATCCACGGCTTGCTTATTTTGAGAAACACCGTACACCCACCCTGGAGGGAACGGTGTTCTCAAAAGCAAAAGTTTATGTAGTCCGTTATGCATCCATGTTCCATGGCACTGATGTCCTCTCATGGTGGAATTCAAACCACAGTTCTTGTCCACCCACACGGCTGGTCTGTTGAAGCACGTCCCTGAGAAGCTTGCCTCCGCTCGCCCGTCGCAGTTCACCTCCTTCACCTGTGCCGTGCGGGACCACAGGCTGCCTGTGTTACAGTAGCTTCCTATACACGGCTGCAGGCTGAACAATGTTGTGGTCAGCTCTTATCCTAGCATCAGGGCAGTCAGAAGCTGTGTACACGGTACCACCTGCTATCCACAATAAGCATGTGAACCAACTCCCGTGCAGATAGTCGTGGTCTTCAATGGCTAACTGCTAAACAGTTCATCTGATCCCTTACTACAGCAGTTGTGCTTTAACAGCTGGCAGTGTGTACGGCTTTAACAGCACCCCGTTCGTTCACCAC